AGAATATTTACATCTGTGTTCATCAGGGATATTGGCCTATAGTTATCTTTTTCAGTGGTGTCTTTATCTGGTTTTGGTATCAGGGTAATGCTGGCCTCATGGAATGAATTTGGAAGTTTTCCTTCCTTTTCTATGTTTTGGAATAGTTTGAAAGGTATTGGTATTAACTCTTTAAGTGTTTAGTAGAATTCTGTGAAGCTATCTGGTCAAGCTTTTTTGTTTGTTGGGAGTTTTTGATTACTGATTCAGTTTCTTTGCTGGTTATTGGTCTGTTGAAGTTTTCTATTTCTTCCTGTTCCAGTTTTGGTAGTTTATAGGTTTCTAGGAATTTATCCACTTCTTCTAGGCTGTCCAATTTGTTGGCATATAGTTTTTCATAATATTCTTTGTTAATTTTTGTATTTCTGTGGTGTTGTTATTCTCCTCTCTCATTTGTGATTTTATTTGGGTTCTTTCTCTTTTTGATCAGTATGGCTAGAGGTTTAACAATTTTATTAATTTTTTTCAGAGCACCAACTCCTGGTTTCATTGCTCTGTTCTAGTGTTTTTTTCATTTCTATATCATTTATTTCTGCTCTAAAATGTATTATGTCCTTCCTGTTGCTGGCTTTAGTCTTCATTTGTTGATCTTTTTCTAGCCCCATTTGGTGTAAGGTTAGGTTGTTGAGCAAGAACTTTATTCTAACAACTATCAACACTGAGAGCCTAAGGAAGGCAAAGTGTGTAGGTGTGTGAACAGTGCAGTGGCACGGCCGGGAAGCTGGGATGTGCCCCTTGCGAGGTGGAGGGAGTGGGTGGTGCAAATGCCTGTGTTCAGCCATTGGGGGTCATTGTTTCTCCGTGTGTGGGAGGGCTTTGCATGTCTTCTCAGCCATGATCCTAATAGATGATCTACTATGCTTGCAGTAGAACAGATGCCTAAATGAAGAGGGTCTCTGATTTCACCAACACAAAAATTATTCTTAAATTTGGGTGCCATATAAAGTAAAATATATAGTTTTGAGTGTTCAAAAAAAGTATGTACATTTCATTATATCTTAGCATAATAATTGTTATTTACTGAATACTTACTGTAATCAAATAGTGTGCTATATTATAGTAAGAGCTCTCTGTGTTTTATACCACAGTGTAATACAGAGCCCTTAGGGTATTACCTTTTAAGAGTCAGGTGATATTCTATGGCTTTGTGTTTTTAACTCTTAACTCATTTAATCCGCATACCAACCCTCCGATGTAGATACTATTATTGTCCCCATTTTGCAGATGAAGCAACTGAGACATAGAATCATAAAGTAACTTCCCCAAAATCAGACAACTAGTAAGTGTAGAACCATGATTTGAACCTAGACATAAGGGCTCCAGAATGAAATGGATCTGGTACGTCAGATAATTCAAATTTAAGTCCTGCGTCCCACATAGCTGTGGCCTTTGTGACGAGGACCAGACCATGCCTCTTGTTTCTGTTGAAATAGCTATTGGAGCAGTGTCATGGAGAGGTAGCACTGTGGTGTGTCAGAATAAACTCTGGGCTAGGAATGAAAATGCCAGTCTTAACGCATGTCACAGGGATGTTTCTGAGTATTTTCTCACCTCTAATATGGGTATTCTAACGTCAGTCTCTTGTGTATATTTGGGTTATGTTTTGCCCTTTATAGAGTGTCTTTACATGTTATGTCACTCATCTGTCTTGCCTGCCTTACAGTATTGCTTCAGGGATCAAATGAGTTATATACAGAAGAACTATAAGGGTTTATTGTTGCTTTTCAAAGTATTTGCTTTTTCTTCCTCATTATTATGTTTTGTCAAGAGTGAATCATAAAAAATAATTCAGATTTACTTGGATATTTAATGTATAGGTGCTATTCTATAACTCTATGCATGATCTCCTTCTGTCATTTTCATACATAACTCTAGTACTCAAGTATTGTATCAAATAGAAGTTATATTCAGTTCCATTTTCTGCCCTACTGAACAGGAAATGTAGTAGGCACGGATAATCCAAAATAATTGGCTAGCTTTTGGTATTCATTTTTGTACTTAATTTAACTTGAGTCTGTGTGGCTGAGAATTTAGAGTACAGATCTTCCTTGACTTAAGGGGTTACACCCCGATAAACCCATCATAAGTTGAAAATATCTTAAGCTGAAAATGCATTTACTACACCTAACCTGCAGAGCAGCGTAGTTTAGCCTGGCCTACCTTAACTGTGCTCAGAGCCCTTATATTAGCCTGTAGTCGGGCAAAATCATACAACACAAAACCTAAATACAGAGTTAAATATCTCTTGTAATTTATTGATTACTGTACTGAAAGTGAAAAACAGAATGATTGTATGGGTACAGAATGGTTGGCTTTTTACCCGCGTGGCGCCTGGCTGCCTGGGAGCTACAGCTTGTTGCTGCCCTGCATCACCAGAGAGGATCATACTGTATATCATTAGCCTGGCCAGACATCAATATTCAAAATTTGAAGTACGGTTTTTACTGAATGTGTATCACTTTCGCACCACTGTAAAGTTGAGAAATTATAAGTTGAACCATTGTAAGTCTGACACCATCTGAAAGTATTGAGCCTCTTTAGAAAACCCAGCTGGAGTTAAGCCATAAATACACACACACACACACACACACACATTTTAATGTTTGTTGATATTTGAGAGAGAGAGAGGGTGCGAGCTGGGGAGGGGCAGAGAGAAGGGGAGACATAGACTTTGAAGCAGGCTCCAGGCTCCATAGAACCGAACACGGGGCTTGAACTCACAAACCATGAGATCATGACCTGAGCTGCAGTCAGATGGTTAACTGGTGGAGCCACCCAGGTGTCCCTAGATAAGTCGTAGTTTTAAGACTTTGGTGTCTTGTCCACCCCACTCTTCATTTGTTCTAGTTCGAAAGTCCGGCAAAGGAGCTAGCACCTTCTTCCTACCCTTTCCTCCTTTCCTACACACACCTGTGGTAAAGGCACAAAGTAGGAGGCTGTGGGAGAGAGAGAGAAAGGTTTCTTGTTTGTTTGTTTTTAGGACAGTAACTTAAGATTACGGAAGGAACCCCAGAAGTCTTTTCCTTCTCACTTGAGCAGTGGTGGCATCAGCTGGTGTCAAAGAAGATGCCCAACTGGTGGTAAAGTGCCCGGGCTTCTGAGGTTGGGACCTTCCTGAAGGGAGATTCTATAGTAGGGGGAACTGCTAAGGTCAAAGCAACACAGTGAAAACTTACCTTAGCATTTTGGACTTTTATAGTAGCATTAGTAAAAGCCTCCGTGTCTCCACACCCTCTGCCGATGACATTGTGCTTCTACAAGCCAGTCATGCAAGTTGTTGTTTCTAGTGTTCCTCTGTTTTCGTGATGGCAGCATGACTTTCTCTTGAATCCGTTATTACAAGTGTGGTATCCAGAACAAGGGAAGGTTTGTGATATTGCTCCATTTTGTGCTGGGTGAACCTCTCTTGGCATATTATGTCTGGTTCTTAGCACTTCACATTGAGGGTCAGTGACAACCTGGAGTGTGTGATCTAAAGAAAGAGCCAGGATGGTAAGGGGTGTTAATCATTGAAATGGTAGTTAAAGGAAATGGAAAAGAGAGAACTTGGAAAGGAAATGTTGTCTGTAATAGGAATATTCAAATTTCTGATAAGCTCTTACACCAAAGAGGAAGTAAGATTATGATTGTTAGTAAAATTAGTTAACCATTTTTGAGAGTCTCCTCCATTTAGATATTATACTAGGCACTCCGCGTATGTTATATGTATTGCAAGGCAGGGTTCCATTTCTATTTTATAGAAGATGGGACTGATGCTCCGAGACGTATAGTAAGCTGCTGAAGGCCACACAGTTATTTAATGATTTCACAGTTCAGACAAGGGTCTTTCTGATTCCAAAGGCTGTTAGCTGTAAGATTGTACTGACTCACAGCGAATACAGATGATAGGGAGACAGACCTTAGGGGACAGGCGTGAGAAGCTAGCCACCCCTGTTCCCTGGAGGGGAGGACTAGGGCAGAAAGTGAGAGATCCCTTATTGGGGCTGTTGTGCAGAGAATTCATACATGGAGAAGATGACTTTCTATTCCTTAGAATCTCTTCCACTGTGATCTTCTGAATTCTTGCTCCAGGTCCAGGGTAGGCCCCTTTGGCCTTTTGGTTCTCAGTGATTCTCATTTGGTGCTCAGAAGCTACTTCTGTTCCCTCGTACATGGGTCAGCATACTTGGGTAATTTCTATCCTGAAACAAAATAAAGCTTGTACCTCGGCTCTCTTCTTAAAATCAAGCTTTGCTAGTACCTTCAACGTAATGGTGATTGTGCGTCACCTGTGGCGCCAGGATTGGTGTGGAGCCCGAGCACACACAGCTGGGGGGTCGCTGTGCTGCGAGTCTGAGCCGCTCTGACCAGTGTGATGTGTAGCCACTGACTTTAGTGCCTAGCTGACTGCTCTTTGCTGAGGTGGCAAGGCTGGCCTCAGCGGGGAAGGAACATGTAGGGCCGCGGCCGTATAACATACTTTTTTTTTTTTTTTTAAATGTTTTATTTATTTCTAGGAGAGAGAGAGAGAGACAGTGTGAACAGGGGACGGTCAGAGAGAGAGGGAGTCACAGACTAAAACAGCTCCAGGCTCTGAGCTGGCAGTCAGCACAGAGCCCGACGCGGGGCTCGAACCCACGAACCGCGAGATCATGACCTAAGTGAAAGTCGGACTCTTAACCGACCAAGCCACCCAGGCGCCCCCGTATAACATACTTTTAACAGTCGATCACATGATGATGGGATGTGAAAGGCTGGGAAAGAAAGGCTGGGAAGGAACTATTCTTCTTGGACTGCTTATTGTCATCTGCTGATATCTTGAAAAATTCTGGAGATTGTTTATTCTTACTGAAGAATTTGATGAACTCCTGTTTTTTTTTACATATCGGCATTGATTTTACAAGGCAATTATGTAAACTTGAAAATTGAAAGACAAATATATTTATGACTTCCTGTTAATAAAATTTATAATTTTTTTTTAGCTTATTCACCTTGATGAAGATTGTATAACAGAACTTTCTGTACATCACAGAAATAACAGGCAAACAATGGAGGATTTAATATCATTGGTAAGAAATATGACATGAACTTGAGAGTAATATCTCTTGTTTTAGTGCTTTTTATTGATAAAATAAATGTGCTAATAAAGTACATGAAAAATAGTATAGCATTTTTCAGACCTTTGATTTTATCATGGAGGTAAATACTATATTTATGTATGATTTCCACTCAGTTCTTTTCTCATGTCTGCAGGATATCCTCTTTAAAAATGACATTGATTTGGGTGCCTGGGTGGCTCACTTGGTTGGGCGTCTGACTCTTGATTTTGGCTTGGGTTGTCATCCCAGGGTCGTGGGACTGAGCCCTACATCAGGCTCTGTGCTGAGCATGCAGCCTTCTTGGGATTCTCTCTCTCCCTCTCTCTTTCTCTTTTTCTCTCCCTCCCTCCTTTCCTCCTCTCCCTCTGCCCCCCGCTCCCCCATGCACTCTCTCTCAAATAAAATGTAAAATAAAAAAAATAGGACATTGATTAAAAAGAATTACAGTGGGAAAAAAATAAATAGAAGAAACTAGTCCACAGAGAATTGACAGAGTTCAGATTTTACTACTAGAAATTCTGTACGTGGAACTAGAATTCTGCTGTAGGAATAGGTTAACACAAAGCAAGTTGTTTTTTTTATAGTTTATTTATTTTTGAGACAGAAACAGAACATGAGCGGGGGAGGGGCAGAGAGAGAGGGAGACACAGAATCCGAAACAGGCTCCAGGCTCTGAGCTGCCAGCACAGAACCTGATGCGGGGCTCGAACCGACAAACCGTGAGATCACGACCTGAGCCGAAGTCGGACGCCCAACCGACTGAGCCACTCAAGCGCCCCAAAGCAGTTTTCTTCTTACCTGAAAGCAACCCCATAGCATCGCATCACCCCTAAGCTTATGATCCAAATACCATGAAATCATTATCATGATTTCTGTGTTGGATCATTTTAGTTCTTTCAGATGCTTAATCTCTAGATCACACATGTTTTTTTCCTAGAGAAAAACCAATCATAGTTGACTCTGACTATAATCTAACATGATAGGCAGGGTTTGAGCCCAACTTTGCTCCTGGTTCAGTACTGTGTCTTTCATTGCCTCTGATTTGTGTTTTGCTTTTTTTTTTTTCTTTTCTAATTTGCAAGGTAAAGGCCTAAAGCAAAATTTTTTTTACTAAACAAAGCTTTGCTAAGCCACAATTCTTTTTGGTGAGGAGGAGATATAAAAGATTTCTTTTGGATGACATAATAAGCAAAGGTTCTGGAATGTGAATGCAAAACAGAATGATAATTTGTTTTGCATAGAAAGTGCCTTTAAAGGAATGACAAGGATTGGGAATTGCTGAAAGGTCCTTAGTCTTTTATAATGAAAATTTGAAGTTTCCATTTAAGCAACTTAAAAGTATGACTTTTTCTTTAGGATGATCTTTCATAGAAGACTGTCTTTCAGGTACATAAGATTTCTTTTAAAAATTTCATTTTAGAGTTTGTAAATGTCTACAAAAGTAGAATAGTTTCACAATAACTTTCCATGTTTTCATCATCCAGGATCAACAGTTAATGACATTTTGCTTGTTTTATCTATATCCCAAGCCCCGTCTCCCATTTGCCTTTTCTAACTAGGATATTTTGAAGCTTGGGCCAGACATCCTGTCATTTTACTGAGAAAAGATTTGATGCAATCACAGATATTTATTTATTTATCTATTTATTTATTTTTAAACGTTTATTTTTGGGAGAGAGAGAGCACGAGCAGGGGAAGGACAGAGAGAGAGGGAGACACAGAATCTGAAGCAGGCTCCAGGCTCTGAGCGGTCAGCACAGAGCCCGACGCGAGGCTCGAATGCATGAACTGTGAGATCATGACCTGAACTGAAATTAAGAGTCGGATGCTTAACCGACTGAGCCACCCAGGTGCTGCAGATCACAGACTTTTAAACTCTGACTCCCAAAAGTAATAATACTTAGAAATTCAAGAACTATTGAAAAAAAATCTTTAAAATAGTATCCCTGATGTTTACATAATTTTCAAACTTAAGAGTGAATTAGGAATTATTTTCTTTACTTCTAATATAGGAAAAGTAGGTGATGAAGCAGGATAGAGATTGTTTTCTGGTGTTACATCTCTAAAGATCTCAGTGTTTCTGAAAGCTAAGCATGAACAACATCAAGAATGCTGTGAAAAAAGGAATAGTTTTTCTTTCTTTGGACTCTTCTCTCATTCTTAAATGTCTGCTTATACTTATTTTCCAGTCCTTGGGATGAGTAGAATACAGGCTATTCATTCTAATTGTGAGATTCTCAACCTTGTCTGAATCCCCTGGGAGTCTAAACTAATCCTGATGCCTAGGTCCCACCCCCAGAGGTTACGATTTAATCATGTGTGGCCTGAACATCAGAATTTTTAAAAGCTTTTCCAAGGATTGCAGTATTCAGCCAGGAGTTGAGAAGTACGTCTCTAAATTCTTGCTATTCAAAGTGTGGTCTGACCAGCAACATTCACATCACGTGGTGCTTGTTAGAAATGCAGACTCTCAGAGCCTACTTTGGATGTACTGAATCAGAATCCGTACCTTAATAAAAACCCTAAGTGATACATATGTACATTAAAGCTTGAGAAGCATCGGTCAGCGTCAGTGGTTTTCAACTGGGAGTGATTTTGCCCCTCAGGAGACACTTTTGGTTGTCACAACTGGGGTGTGTGTGCATGATAATGGAATCTAGTGGTTAGAGGCCAGGATGCTGCTAAATATCCCACAATGCACAGAACAGCCCCTCACAAGAAGAATTATCCAGGTCAAACATCAGTAGTGTGGGGTGGAGAATTCTTGGTTTAGGTAGTCTCAGGGAATTCACATTGGTCTTAGGAATTTTCCTGTTTAAAAAGCCTCAGGAACAGCAGGCTTGAGATCAGCTGTGGTCTGTTACCCTTTTTTCTTTTTCTTTTTTTTTTTTGCACCTTGGGAGCTTTGTCTTTACTTTGGGGTCTGGTGAGACAGGACAGAGAGCAGTTTAGTGTGATCCGTGCTGGGATGGTGATGTTGATCTTTGTGCAGAGAGGGAAACACTATTATTCTCAAACATGTGACTCCTAGAACTCCTGCTTTTATATTATATACATGAGCACTCTTAATCTGCTTTTTATATGCAGCAGTTAGCATTTCACTGTGACATGATTTCGGGCTATCTCACCGTGGCCTGTCTGTGACCTCCCAGGAGTGGTGCCAGTGTTAACTTCCACCTGATTGCTTTCCTTACTGTCCCCCTCTTCTTCCAGCTGTGAGTGGCCACGATTTGTTTGGGCAGCCAGTCATCTGATAGGGGGACTTCACTGAGGTCACAAGTGCATACATATAAGAACCTATTCAGACCATGACAGTTCCCTTCCCCCATCCCCTCATGCAAATCTCCCTATATTCTGGTGGCAGAAGTTTAAATGCCTCAAAAGACCAAGGTCAGGGGAATGATAGTTTACTCCTCAGTTTCTCAGAACACTGTACTAGTAACTGCCTGTCCTCAGCTCAGGTGCCTGGGCAGTTCTTAACATTTAGCCTGTGTGAACAACAACTGGGGATTTTTTTTAAACAATTTTTTTTAAATGTTTTTTATTTATTTCTAGGAGAGAGAGAGAGACAGCGAGAGCAGGGGAGGGTCAGAGAGAGAGGGAGTCACAGACTCTGAAACAGGCTCCAGGCTCTGAGCTAGCAGTCAGCACAGAGCCCGACGCGGGGCTCGAACCCACGAACCGTGAGATCATGACCCAAGCAAAAGTCGGATGCTTAACCGACTAAGCCACCCAGGCGCCCCAACAACTGGGGATTTTTAAATGTTTTTTCTTTTTTCAAAAATGTTTTTAGTGTTTTTTTTTTTTTTTTTTTTTAAGAAAAGCAACCTTCTTTATGATAGGTAAACCTGGGAGCTGCCTAAAAGATAGGTTGGTTGTGTTAGACTTGTGGCTTGATATCAGCTGATAGTAACTAATGTGCTGATTCATCTGTTATTGAAAACAGAACTCCCCTGCGCATCTGACTATAATGAGTTGTATGCAGTGGCTGTAGCAAAAGTTATCAAAAGGATGCTTTTTTCTTAGGTATAAAAAGGGGTTAGGCGATCGTTATAAAACTCTGAGGCAGGTGTAGAAAATGTAAAACTGTAAAACTGTAAAACTGTAAAACTGTCCAGGTGTTGTTTACAGTGCCTGCATTGTGCCATATCATTGCTGATAAGCAAATGGCAACTTGTTTCTGAGCCTTTGTCTGTAATCAGCTTATGGCCTCTCTTTCAAAAAGGTAGGGCTATCGTACATGGGTTCATAGATGTGGCAGGTGGTAAAAAAAATCTTGAATATAGTTTTTGGAAAGTGGAGAGTAGTTGTTAGTAACTACATAGTTTTTACTCAGTTTCCAAGTACCTTCTCCATGAAACATTTTCTCACCTTTCCCCATTCCTGTCTGGATTAAAGGCAACATTTATTAAAGGCAGTAATATCACGGTATTTTATACCTCTTCCACTAGACTGATAGGTCTGTTATAGATTTCAAAGCATACTTGATGATTGTGGCCATCTAAAATATTAACTGACAAAATTTATTAATTAAAACAGGGCTTTTATTTAGACCTTTTTCATAGTAGACCTCTTTGGATCATGTGCCTTTTGAGGAGATACATTCATTCTTATTCAATATTATTTAAATTTAACACTCTTACAGGGTAGAGTCTCCTAGTCTTATGAGCGCATTATTTAGAAGCTTTCAGTTATACATAATGTATTGAACAGATATGTTTACATCCAGCACTTCCTAAAACTTCACTAAAATCATAATAAAGGGGCAGAAAGGTAAAATTTTTCACAAGGATGATTGGAATAAAAGAGGAGACAAAAAGTAATGTCAATAAAATTTTTGGGAGTTATAAAATAGGTAAGTGGCAGCTGACATAGCATTTTAGAGAAAGCTGAAAGCTAAATGTCTGCATTGGGAAAAGAAAATAAGCAAATTGATTAGAGCCTTAGGCTCCAGAAAGGCTTAGGAATCAGAGATACTCGGAACCTCTGCAGTTAGGGAAGTAAGTAGAGTGGAACAGGAAGATTGGTTGAAACTCTGTGTTAGAAACAATTGGACCCCTAAGTCCCTTTCTCTGCCTTGTGCCCCCTGACGGCCATGTCTTCCTCAGCCAAACAGAAGATGGGAGACATTGAATGAGAGGCACTCTTGAACCACACACAGCTTATGCATTTTGAAATGGACGCATGCAGTCCTCCTATTTAACGGTGAACCACTACTTTTAACCCCCTTCCCTGATCAGCTCTGAGAATGCTGGAACCAGGATTTTATCCTGCTTGCAGTGGGGGTAGGGAAAATATTGGAAGATTCATTTCTAGAAAAAAGCTGAGAGAGAGGACCTACTATACCTAATGGTTGGAGTTTAGATTCCTGTCTGTACATCATAGAGGGAAGTCCCCCCCCCCCCCCGCCCAAGCTGATAGGCAGCCTCAAATTACACACAGAGCCTTTAATTAGCTGTGCTTTATAATTCCCCACCTTTAAGTAGAGACAGGCAGCCAAAGATTACTAGACGTGAAAATCAGAGATCAAAACAACTGGTGAGGGCTGGGGGTGGGGAGGAGGAAGAAAAGTAAAGATACTTAGAAATAAAAGATAATGCAGGGAGTGGAAGAAAATGGCTAAGAAATGATAATTAATATTCTCAGAGATAAGAGAAGCTATTTCTTTTTCGAAATAGGAATAAGATGTCTAAAAGGGAACATTTCAAGAGATAGCTCTTGAAAGTTTAAGATATGATGACAGAAATGAAAAGCTTAGTAGAAATGATTGAAAATGAAATTAAAGGGAAATCTTTCAAAAGTAGAGCCTAAAAACAGATGCATAAAAAAAACAAAAACAAAAACAGCTGCATAAATAGAAGAGAATGGGTAAGAAAGGTCCAACATACAAATAATAGAAGTTGCAGGAAGACAAAACAGAAGGGAAGAAAGCATCAAAGAAATAATGCAAAAAGAAATATTCTAGAACTGAAGGTTTCTAAGGTAGTAGAACTGAGTTTTTAAGAATGAAGGCTCTTAGCCAGGGTTTGGAAATGTGGATGAAAATAAATCTACACAAAGTGGAATTTCAGAAAACTGCGGTAAAAGAGAATATGCAGAAAGTTTCTAGAGCCAAAAACAATCCCCAAAAGATCATAAACAAACGCTTGGAATCAGAAAGACTTTGGATTTTTCAGTAGCTATATAAGAAGCTAGAAGACCATGGAACAGTGTTTTCAAAACTGAAAATTATTACCACCCTTAATTTCTGTACTCAGTCAAACCAGACTCAAGTGTGAGGATGGAATGCAGTCATTTATCAGACATGCAAGATCTCAAATTACTGGAGGATATAGTGAACCAAACAAGAAAGTGACCAAGAAAGTGGAATCCTTACGATCTAGGAAACTGGGGACACATTGTAGAATAGAGGTGAAGAGAATCCCTAGACTGATGGTGGAGTTGCAGGTTGAGAAAGAAGCCAGGCCAGAGTGGAGCATGGAATGTAGTCCTCGGGTGGAATGTCTCTGAAGGGCAGCAGAGCGGGGACCGGATCAGCTGGTGTGTGTGGACATGTTGAGGGGAGGTGAAGAGTGCTGGAGAGCGTGCAGTTGAAGTAGTAAGATGAGTAACTGCCTCTTTTTTATTTAACTTCAGGAAAAACCAAGATATAAAAGAAGGAAATTGCAAAGATAGCACCTTGCATGGTTTAGGTGTGGTTCCATATTGGTTGTTAAGGTATTAGAATATTTATATACTCACTGGTAAAGAACTGCTACAAGTGCCCTCGCCGTAGCCCATTACCTCCCTCAGGTCCCCTGGGCACCTCCCTCCAGTCTCCCCTGGAACCCAGTGATTAAAAGGTTAATAATTGTCATGGCAGGGGTCTCCCAGGACCCAACTCACTCTCAGTCTCTGTTCTAATTGCTTAGAGTCAAGGTACCAATTAAATATTTCGAACATTACCCTTACTTAATTGTGAATACTATTTACACAATCATAGTAGTATAAATATTGATTTAACTAAAAATTGTGATAAAATTATAGTGGGAAGATACAGGGATGAAGAATATATGGGGCAGGAAGGAGAGTTTTCATTTCCATACTAGGAAATTCATAGATAATATCTGAAGCTGAAAAAAATTTTAAAGCAATTTAAATTAAAAAAATTATAAGCAACATAGAAACATAGAAGAAATAAAGTGTCTAAAAGTGGTTTCCTCTGGGGAGTGGAAACTGCGTGTGTGTGAGTGGGTGTGGGTGTGGGTGTCTGTCTATGTCTATATGTGTATGAGAGAGAGAGAGAGAAGGGATGGTTATTTTTTCTGAATGAATAAAGTTAATGTAAAATAGAACATGATTTCAGAAGACAACTTTAGTCTTCTAAGCAACTTGATTTTCTTTTTTCCAGTGGCAGTATGATCACCTCACAGCTACCTATCTTCTGCTGCTAGCCAAGAAGGCTCGGGGAAAACCAGTTCGTTTAAGGCTTCCTTTTTCCTGTGGACAAGCCAGTGTTACCCCATTCACAAATGTCAAGGTAAATGTTAGAACCTTTCGTGTGGACTCCTACAGCTCTGGCCTTATGGCTGCTCCATTCGTGAGTGGGTCCACCACTGGTGTCAAGGAGCCAGAAGCAAGACATTTTATGATTTAAATATTTTTGGTGAGGGAGATGGGGAATTCTGAACTTGAACTCTAAAAATTTCAAAGTTGGCATGGCATTGAGATAATCCTCTCCTCCCCTTTGTTTTTCACAAAAAGAATTTTTGATTGTTGGAGAAAAATTTTGAGCCACAGAAAGGAAAACGGAACATATGTATAAATCTACCTGTAGATAATATAGTTTTATTTGATTGTGACTTTCTACTCCTTTTTGGTATATAATTTATACAAGTGCTTTTATAGGACACTGTATTATTGGGTTGTGGATAAAAATTTAAAAAATTTTTGGGAGTAAGATTTCTGAATATAGGATGTATTATATTTTGTATGACATGAAATAGTTTAATGAATATTTTGTTACTAATATATGTTGATGGCTTAGGTTTTTGTTTTGAGCAATAGTTACAGTGCGTGTAACTCAAATACCTTGTATGAGTTTGTTGTGACCATATTTTTTCTATTTTTGTCGTCTTTATCTCATTTTTTTTGGTCATGAGTGTTTAGAATGGCGGAGAAGCTTTACATTCTTGGAATGTGTCATTGTTTTACATTCTGTGTCATTCCTAAGAGCTCACAGTCTCTGTCTTCTGTCTGATTCTTTGTTATCTCCCATGGTTTAAAACTCTGCCTTCCAAATCCTTTGCTGGATGGGTGTGGAACTTTGGAATATAATCAGTCTTTCTTCAATTAATTTAGGTTGCAATTCAAATTATGCTAGCAGTAGGAAATTGTCACTTGTCAATCATGTGCTGCAGGTATAGGGGATCTTATGTCTCTTCCAGACCCTGTCAGCCCCTGCCTCCCTCTTTCCTTCCTAGTTGGTCTTTTGACCAAACTAAGCACTAAAAGTGCCAGTAACTGTTCTCTAAAGGGATCTCTGAAGTCAGATTATGTCCTTCCCGGGATGGTTTCTTAGTCTGTTCTTAGAGAGTTTTGTTGGATTTGTGGATACGCCATCCCTAGACATACCTTTACCTCTGGACTCCATGCGTTGTCCTGTCACTCATCCTGCCCATGTCACCGGACCCTTTAAACTCTCAGATTGAAGTGAAGGTCTTTGGGTCAAAGAGGACACAAAACCATGAATGCTGTTTCTGATCAAGGTAATTTGAGAATAGTATTAGATGAGTCTGTACTTAGAATAAATTCAGCTAAATTTTTACATTTTTAACAGTTCTGAGATGTTTTCCTAAGTCACTGAATTTTCTTACATCTGGATTGGCCCAATCTCAATTCACCTGGTATAAGATTTATGAGGTATTCAAGTACCTGGGAAGATACTCTTCTCTTTCAACTAATGAGCATTGATACTGATCATGTAATTATTTGGGCATTTATGTTATTGAATCCGTTTTTATGGTAGGTAGATATTTTCATAACAAATAGTGTAGAAATAAAATTTGGGGTTACTTTCTGCTTTTTATGCAAATCATTAAAACTTGAAACATAGTTTCTTTGTATTGTTCTCCCCCCTTGATAGAATCACCCTTTTTCTCCAGGGTGTTGTTTATAAGAAAGTAAGTGATCCTGAACTGCTAATCAATAGATGGCATTTTCAGCAGAACAATGATACAGTCTGATCCAGGAATCAGATGGGTTAAAGATTTAGTTTGGCTAAAGACTGAGAGGTCAAGGGGCGCCTGGGTGGCTTAGTCGGTTAAGCGTCCGACTTTCGCTTAGGTCATGATCTCGCGGTTTGTGGGTTCGAGCCCCGCGTCGGGCTCTGTGCTGACTGCCAGCTCGGAGCCTGGAGCCTGTTTCGGTCTGTGACTCCCTCTCTCGCTGACCCTCCCCTGTTCACGCTGTCTCTCTCTCTCTCTCTCCTAGAAATAAATAAAACATTAAAAAAAAAAAAAAAAGACTGAGAGGTCAAGTAGGGGAAAAGTAGGAGGAAAAGGAGGAGGGAGTGGGCTGGGAGGGTAGGCGGGAGCTAGATTGTAGAGAACCTTGAAATGCCATGTCAGAAGGGTTAGACATTATGCTCTGGGTAATGGGAACCATTGATTTTTGAGCAAGATAGAATGGGTCACTTGACATGACTGTAATTTTGCAAAATGTATTCAGGGGTATATAGACTTGTTCACTTAGGGATGTGTGTGTGCTGTTACTCTCTACGGCAGTGCCCGGGACAGCTGTCTTTCCTACAGCCCTATACTTTTCCCCATGGAGCCTAGATTTAGCTTTAGTATTTTTCTCTGCCTCGTGCTCCATGTAGCCCGTTCTAGTTGATGATAATTGGAGAACTCTGTCATCCCTGGCTGAAATGGTAGAAATGTTGGTGGCACAGACCATACTGTCTGTTTGAATAGTTCAGGTCTGCAAAGATGTGTCCTTGAATTAGAACAGTGGCAGTGGGACTGGAAAGTAAATGGTGTCATGAGAAATTCAAATGAAATTGTCAGGCCATCGTAACTAGATGTTGAATTTCGGAAAGGGAAGAGGGAGAAAGAAAAGATCCAGTGATACTCCATAGTCTTAGAATTTAGGATGTGTCTAGTATACCCTTGGTTTATGGAGGGGGAAGAATGAGGGAGATAAATGACTGTGGTCGTATTGTTAGTGCAGGACCTCAAATACTCTGTCCTCAGGAGATCTTGTTTTTAAATTTTTTTTTTAATTTTTTTTTTTTAATTTATTTCTGAGAGAGAGAGAGAGACACCGTGAGCAGGGGAGGGTCAGAGAGAGAAGGAGACACAGAATCTGAAACAGGCTTCAGACTCTGAGCTGGCAGTCAGCACAGAGCCCGACATGGGGCTTGAACCCACAAACCGTGAGATCATGACCTGAGCCAAAGTCAGACACTTAACTGACTGAGCCACTCGGGCACCCCGGGAGATCTGTCTTAAAGCTAGTTTATTTGTAGGAGAAATTGCTACATTTTCTCAGACAGAGAGTGAGCAAGAGGTGGGGGGAGGGGGGCACAGAGAGAGAGAGGGATTCACAGATTCCAAAGCAGGTTCCAGGCTCTGAGCTCTTAGCCCAGAGTCCAATGTGGGGCTTAATTAAACTCACGAACTGTGAGATAGTGACCTGAGCAGAAGTTGGATGCTTAACTGACTGAGCCACCCAGGTGCCCTAGAGCTTTTTATTTGTAGATTTGCAGTGGAGTTATTTGTCTGGTGTTCGAGTGATTATCTGATAATAAAGCCAATTTATCTTTGGCTAAAGAATATACCATAGAATATAAACATGTTCCAGGACACATCTGAGAGTCTGAGGGTCTCCTTGTAATTTGTATTAGCATTTTTTGACTTCCTGTTTTCTCTCCTGGATGGTGAGCTCCTTCAGTATACTATCTCTGATTTGTTTCTGCTTCCAGGGCCTTGCCCTGTGCCTCAAACATACTCTTTTAAAAATTGAATCATGATGGCATTGTCTTTAAGTTCTTCTATTTTTGAATAGCCAAAGAATCTGAGTCTAGAAGATATGACAACAAGTGATGAAAATTATGTGGCTGGATTGATAGACTATGACTGGTGTGAAGACAGTTCATCAACAGGTGTGGCCACCCCACAAACACCACAGGTTGGTCATTTGTATTACTATTTAAAGAAGTGTATGTTGTCTTAATTATAAAAGCATCTAGACTCTAATGTATGTATAGTAGGTCTGTGTAATATACAATATTTTGTATGTGCTTGCAAATTTAATGAATTCTTAAGCCATTGAAGACGTTAATGAGAGATTTGTTGGAATATGAACAAAAGGGAAGCCAATTATTTCCCAGTTGAACAAAGCCAAGATTCCATTTTAGAGCACTTTGCTGTTCCTCTTTTTGCTTGTCGTTTTCCCCCTGCCCTCCTTTCCCCTCCACCTTTCCAAAACTGAAGTGCAGCTTACATGTGGTTAATTATTCACTGTTTTAGTGTGCCATTTTGTGTGTTTTGACAAATGCACATGGTCCTGTCGCCACCATAAAAATCAAGAACAGTTCTGTTGCCCCCTCTCCTAGAGTCCCTCCTTGTAGCCACCTCCCCATTCCCTCCAACTCAGAGCAGCAACTGATCTGTTTTCTTCTCCTTTTGATAATCTTTTTTTTTTTTTTTTAATTTTATTTGGCGTTTGTTGAGCTTACTGGATGTACAGTGAATGTTATTCTTCCACTCTCTCTGAGGGGCCACACAGAGTGCACTCCTTTCAACAGCAGCAGCATGCAGAGGCAAGTGTGCATGTTTCTACCTAGGGAAGCTCACTAGAGACTTAGAATCCCAAGTTTTTAGTGGGGGCTGGTTACACGGGCTCTCTTTGTTGGTGGAGTCGGTCACAATCACAAAAATTCTAGACTTCTAGAAGAAAAGCTGGTGTTTGTCATAAATCACACTGCCTCTAGTCTGTACAGCCTGGTACAGCAGGGTTCGGTGCTCCACCCATACCAGCAGACTCATCCCAACAGTGTTGGCAACTTTCTAAAAGCCGAGTTCCCAGCTTCCATCCAGGACCTGCTGTGCTAGCCCTTGTGTGCAGCAGGGCGCCTGTTACATATGTGTAAGAGTCCTACCACATGTATACTTAGGAGTGGAACGAATTATCTTCAGCTTTACCAGATAATGCCAGTTTTTCTCCCCAAAGTGGTTGTATTAAGTATACTTCAGCTAGCAGTAGAAGAGTGTTCCCATTGGCCAACACATTTATTAATACTTGATATTTTTAGCTATTTAATATTTTAATATTTAATATTTAAACATTTTCTAATCTGGTGAGTATAAAGTTATATCTCCAGCATTGGAAAGTCCATTCTTTCACCACCAGATCTACAATGGTACTTCGATCATATATCAAGTTATCATAGGAGTGTATCTGTTTCTGGGCTATATTTTATTGGTTTATTTTCACCACTACTCACATCTTAATTACTTTCATTTTATAATAGTTGGCCAATTTCCTCCCATCTTCTTTTTTAGGAATGTCTTGGCTATTCTTGCCCCTTTGTATTTCCATATATGTTTTAGAATTGTTTTGACAAATTTCACGTCCACTCAAAAATTGAAAAAACATTGAATTTAAGATTCAACTTGGGAAAAGTTGAAATCTAGACCCTCAAATCCCCCTATCCAAAGAGTATGTCTCTTTATTTATTAGGCTTTAGTTAATGGCTTTCAATAGTTTTATAAATTTCCCCAAAGGGGTCTTATATATTTTTTACTAGATTTATTCCTAGGTACTCCTATTTTTTTTATTGCTGTTGGGAATGGTAGGTTTTTTAAAATCACATTTTCCTGTTACTGGTGTGTAGATGTGAAATTGATTTTTGTGCAATGATCTTACAGTCAACAACTTTCCTAAACTCGTAAATTCTTATGATGTGTCTGCATATTTTTTTGAGTTTTCTGTGTACGAAAGTATATCATTTATGGATGGCAATTTTGTTTCTTCCTTTCTAATTGTTTTTTTTAACATTTTAAAAAATGTTTTATTTTTGAGAGAAAGAGAGAGAGAGTGTGAGCAGGAGAAGGGCAGAGAGGGAGGGAGACAAAGAATCCAAGCAGGCTCCAGGCTCTGAGCTGTTAGCACAGAGCCTAACATTGGGCTCGAACTCATGAACCGTGAGATCATGACCTGAACTGAAGTCAGACACTTCATCAACTGAGACACCCAGGCACTCCTCTTCCTTTCTAATTCTTAAACCTTTAATATCTTTTTTTTTAAATTACTGCACTTAGTAGACCTAGCAATATAGGAGACACTGTTTTTCCCAATTGTAAAAAAGAATACTTCTTTTATCATTAAATAAGATGTTTGTTCTCTCTGTCCCTTTTAAACCTCTCCTTTCCCTCTCCCTCATTCTCTTTCTCCTTTTCCTTGTCATTCTTCCTCTCTCCCCACTGCACCTCCCACCATGTATTTTTCAGGTTAAGACCTGTTTTTCATTTAGTCCTGTTTTGCTAAGATCTTTTTTTTTATTTTAAATGTTTTATTTATTTCTGAGAGAGAGAGCAGGAGCAGGGGAGGGTCAGAGAGAGAGGGAGACACAGAATCCGAAACAGGCTCTGAGCTGGCTGTCAGCAGAGAGCCCGATGTGGGGCTCGAACCCAAGAACCGTGAGATCATGACCTGAGCCGAAGTCAGATGCTTAACCGACTGAGCCACTCAGGCGCGCATTGCTAAGATATTTCTAAAAGTCACAAATCTTATCGCTTCTCGGCCTTTTGGCTAAGATCAAGTGTAGTAAAAGTCACAAATCTGTATTGCAGGAAACAAATTAGATAAAATTTACCTATTGAGAAAATCATCTATTTTTGTTCCTTTCACTAGTTAATATAATTAGCTACATTAAATAATGTAGTTATATGTTATATCAATATTTTTGATGTTAAAGCAGTCTTGTATTCTTTATATAAGCCTGGTTTGCTATCTTTTTAATACATTTCTGGGGTTAGTTTGCTAATGTTTTGTTTGGAATTTTTGCTTCTTTGTTCTTAAATGAAAATGTCCTATAATTTTCTGTTTCATATAATCTTTTTTGTTTTGAAAATTTTAGTTTTATTATTACAGAATTTATACACAGATACAATCATTTTGTAAAACTTTAGACAATGTAGAACAATGTCAAATAATGCTTTCTTTTTCTTTCTTTGCATTCTACCCCATTTTGTATTAATCTTACCTGATGGTGATTATAGTAGTCTTCTAAAATGAATTGAGATGTGTTCCTTTTATTCTCTGGAGTGTTTTTTAAGAGCTAGGGATTATATTTTCCTTGAATGCACATAGGACCATAGTGCATTCAAATAGTATGAATTTGGCCCCCAAACCTGTGTGAAATTACAAATTATTAAAGGAGACTTTGGCTTCTCCAGAGCCAAGTCCAGGGCAGACACATTTTTGTGCCGACTTCTTTATAGGGCAGATTTATATTTAATTTACCATTTCATTTAGTTTTTTAAATAATTTTTTAATGTTTATTTTTGAGAGAGAGAGAGAGAGACAGAGGGAGTGGGGGAGGGGCGGGGCGACGACACAGAATACAAAGCAGGCTCCAGGCTCTGAGCTGTCAGCACAAACCATGAGATCATGACCTGAGCCAAAGTCTGATGCTTAACCAACTGAACCACCCAGGTACCCCTAGTTTTTTTTGTGTTTTGTTTTTGAGAGAAAGAGAGCACGAGTAGGGGAGGGGCAGAGAGAAGGAGAGAGAGAGAATCCCAAGCAGGTTCTGTACTGTCCGCGAGGAGCCTAACACAGGGCTCGTCATGGTTGTGGGGCAAACATGAGATCAAGCAAGACCTGCACTGAAGTCGAATGCTTTACTGACTGAGCCACCCAGGTACCTGCCTTTCATTTTAGTTATAGCCTCCTCTGGCTTTTCATGAGCACTTCAGTTCTAACTCACCACCTGGCATAGGCGTAAGGCCTCCAGGCTGTTAGAGCCAGGCTGCCGGCTGTCCAAGACGGTAGGTAGGTGGCCTTAGAGCAGTAGACAGCTTCAGCCTTTATTATATCTCTGGATTCATGCTCCTCTTCTTAGCCTCTGAGGATTTTCCTTATTTTTTGGCAAGCTCAACCATAAATTCAAAATGATTAAAAAGTATTTTGTATCCAACATTTCTGTTAGAGTATTTTAACACGGTTTTTCTACTGTCATCATTGACTAAACTTTTATTTTTTGGTACATATTAGAGACAAACCATGGGAATCTAGGCATGGAAAACAATTCTCAGGGATTTATTTGTGGCTCTTCTCAGTATTGCCTGGGATCTGGATATGTGTGATTTAACACTCAGCCTAAAACATGTTGAAAATGATCTGTCAATAGAACAGACTAAAGTGATCTACATGTACTAAAGAGAATTGAATATACATTTTCAAATTTCCTGGTATTGCCAATAATATCCTTTTGAGAGTATTTCATTTTAATAAAAATGGTGCATGGTAATTTGCAAATGATTAAGGCATGTTGTAGAGAAATTGACTTTTCTTCTTCATTGTGCTTTATCCAGTAACTTTTTTTTTTCCAGTTTGCCAAGCATTGGACAGAATCAAATGGTCTGGAATCTAAATCATTAACTCCAGTATTATGCAGAGCATCTGCCAATAAATTAAAGAACAAAGAGAATGTATATACGCCTAAGTCTGCTGTAAAGAATGATGAGTGTTTTGTATTTCCTGAGCCAAAGACTCCAGTTAATAAGAACCAGCATAAGAGAGAAATACTCTCTACACCAAATCGTTACACTACACCCTCAAAAGGTATTTGCTATATGGACTAATCAGTAGTACAATACCTTCAAATTCTATTCATCTAAATAAACACATAACAGGTCAGAAATGGTTAGCATTGCTTTCAGGAATTTCTGCTTTTTTTTTTTACCCTGTGTTATTTGCATTGGTCGAAATGAAATCATATTAGTCAACTTCGCATTTTTCTTAAGTGATATTTTTTCTCTTTTTCACATATATAAAGTTGAAGTATAGCATCATAGAATATAAAAGCCAGCAGGCAAGTTAGAGCTCATTTCATCCACCTGCTTTTTTCACAGCTGAAGAACACAAGGCTCAGACAAGTGATTTGCCCCAGGTCATGTTAGACTTTTGCTTTCTCCTTTGCCCCCACTTATCATGACTAAAACTGAAGTCTCTGCTGAGCCCTTCTCACTCATTTGGATCTCCGGTTCTGGTATCTGATCCTGCTCTTGCTCAGATTTCAGAAGCACTCATAGCCCTGTGATGTCCTTCTAGAGATCTAGATCTGCATCCGGATATTACAACTTTCTCATTGCCCTTGGTTTCCTCATCAACTCAGTCATCACCAATTATTTAAGCGATTTCCTTTATGACAACTCATTGTTTTCTTGCTGGCCTCATTTGGGCACATTCTATTTTGTCAGTGCCTAGAACTGAACCCAATTTTCTACTACTGGGTCTCATTAGGATAAGACAGTAAGTGTCATGAGAGTAGAGATTCTGTCTGCCATGTTAGCAGCATGGCATAGTATATGGTAGGGGCCATCTTTATTGTCTGGTACTTAGTAGGTGCCCAATGCCTGGTATATAGTGGGGCCATATCTGTTAAATGAAGGAATGAATTAAGAGAGAGCCTGAATGAGTTTTATTTATTGTGATCTGGTCTATGTCATTTTTTAAAAAGTTTTTATTTTTAGAGAGAGTGAGCACAAGTGGGGGAGAGGGGCAGAGGGAGAGAGAGAAGAAAGAAAGAGAGGGAGAGGGGGAGAATCTTAAACAGACTCCACGCTCAGCATGGAGCCTGACACAGGGCTTGATCCCATGACCTTGGGATTGTGACCTGAGCCCAAATCAAGAGTCGGATGCTCAACTGACTGAGCCACCTAAGTGCCCGCAAGTCACTTTTTAAAATGACTCCTAAACTGTTTTTGGCCTTTTTTCTAGCAATTGTAACCTACTCTTGTTTTATGTTAAGAGCCTCATGAACCCAAACTCCCCAAGACATTGCCATGTGAACTGCTGCTAAATTGCGTCCTGCCATTGTGCTTGCAGCTTGCTGATGGGGCTGATAGCCAGTTTCAGAGCTCTGCTTCTTGTAAAGATATTAGGATCAACTTTGTCAGAATATTTCCTGGAAGTTTTGTTATTCTGTTAATGGCATTCTCTGGTTCATCAACTCAAGCGACATCTTCCCTAGAATTGTGATGCTAGCTAGTTTGGTGTGATAAGCATGTGTGACTGCCTGGGGCTGTTATGAGGGTTCAGTGAGGAAATATCTGGATACTAAGGTCGGACATTAGTAGTAGTAGCTGCTATTATATTTTTTCCTAATGGAGTATTTCTCTTCTGTTACATGTTAATATAGCTAGATTATCTTTTGTGAGTCAGGAGGTTGGGTAAGGAGATAAGATGAACTTTAACTCATTGAGAGCTTTTTTTTTAAGACTTTGATACTTATAGTCCTTTCTATTACTGAGTATGTATATTTTAACTTTAAAAAATATTTTTTAATGTTTTTTTTTAAATTTTTGAGAGAGAGAAAGAGAGAGAGAGAGAGACAGAGCATGAGCGGGGGAGGAACAGAGAGGAAGACACAGAATCTGAAGCAGGCTCCAGGCTGTGAGCTGGCAGTACAGAGCCCAACGCAGGGCTCGAAGACACAAACCATGAGATTATGACCTGGGCTGAAGTTTGATGCTTAACCAACTGAGCCACATGTGCCCCTGTGTGTTTTAATTTTTCACGTAATTCTGAAAGTTTTGAAACATGGAAAGTTTGGAATTTATCTTTTTTTTTTAAAGTTTTATTTATTTCTAAGAGAGAGAGAGACAGCGTGAGCAGGGGAGGGTTAGAGAGAGAGGGAGTCCCAGATTCTGAAACAGGCTCCAGGCTCTGAGCTGGCAGTCAGCACAGAGCCCGACGCGGGGCTCGAACCCACGAACCATGAAATCATGACCTAAGCGAAAGTCGGACACTTAACTGACTGAGCCACCCAGGCGCCCCTGGAATTTATAATCTTAAAGTATCATCATATTGCATAGAAACTTTCTCTTGTGAGAAAGATTGTGTTGGTCTAAAGCTGTTAATTGGCTATTTTTCTTAAACATAAGATCCACCTATAGAAGCTACTGGCTAAAGCCCCGATTGATAGCTTCCATTAGTGCAATGTATGCACTTCACTTTCTTTCACTCTGAGTCATTTCTCACATAAGCATTAATCACTTTTCTTAATCTGGTACAATCCAGTCAGTGAAAATTCATCAACAAGTAACTATGCATAATAGTGGATACTCCTTTATACAAAGATGAAAACTGCTTTCAGAGATATTGTTTTCTTGTTCTTGTGGAACCAGTGAAAATGATCCTGAGTAATCATAAACAAAAAAAACCCCTCTTATGTCTTCTTAAAAACTTGCTATCATATGTTTATTATAAAGTGTTATTCCCTCTAAAGGGTGTGCAACTTTAGATCATAAACAAAAAGTTGACTAGTGATAACCAGATTTGTTATTCTGAATTTGTCACAAATTATCTGGATACAAATAGCCTACTAGAATGAAACACAGAATTCTAGAATAGAATTTATATTCTAAATATAAAAGTAACAAAAGCTCACACTGTTTAATAACTTTTGTCAAGCCTTCACAGGGACTGTTCCCTTTGCCTAACAGGCTTTGAGTAGGGCAAGGAATTGAATACCTCTCAGTACTATTTTCAATTAAAAGCATAAATTGGATCCTTGTATAAATACAGATTGACTTCTGTTTATAGAAAGGAGAATCAGTAGTCATAAAAATCTGTATTTATATGATCTATTTAAATTTGTCGTATAATATTTATAGTAAAATTTTAATCGTGGCCTCAGTTTTGCAGTGAAGGAAAAGAAGAGCCACACACGCAAAGCCAAAATGATTTTGTTTTTATTATAAATCACATGGACATAATTCTTTAAATAATTAGAGCCTTAACACCACTGGCCAAGCGATCACAATATTTCTGAGTCAATGAGTAAGTAGTGTATGCATTATTGACAGAAATTTTGAAACCATAATATGCCAGCTACATATGGTTTGTGTTTGTTGTTTTTCTAATAGCCAGAAACCAGTGCTTGAAAGAAACTCCAATTAAAATGCCGATAAATGCAGCAGGAACAGAGAAGTTAATGACAGGTGTCATTAGCCCTGAGAGGCGGTAAGTGTTCTGTTGTTTAGATTCTTTGATCTTTAGTGTATGAATGAGATTTCCTTTTTTCATGTATGATCAGCCTGATTAAGGTAACAAACCATTGTGTAAATCATGTCAGAGACTGTAGAAATGTCTAGCCTGTAGAAATGTCTAGCTGAATGAGGATGGTCTATGGCCATTACTATAGCTGTTGTTGCTGCCTTCCTCATGGGCAAGAAATCTGAAACTCTTCAGCAGTAGGACTGGCACCTTAACACACTGGGAAGACAGTGGCCCTGGCCTCAGCCACATAGTCCCCGTTCTGAGGCCCATCTTTTCCTACACTTCCGGTGGAGTATAGACGTCCACTAACAGATAGCAGTTGTTCATATAGTAAAAATACCAACCAGTGTGTTAAAGAAAACTCATTCTTCTTATATGGACATGGGCAGTTCTACAGCATTGGTGACCCTTTATTGTCTTTTTTTATTTTTTATTTATTTTTATTTTTTAAATTATTTATTTATTTTAAGTAATCTCTACGTCCAGTTTGGAGCTCAAACTCACGACCCTGAAATCAGGAGTTTCATGCTCCTCTGACTGAGCCAACCAGGTGCCCTCAGTGTCTATAATAGCTATTTTTTATTTTTATTTTTTAATTTTTGTAAAGTTTATTTATTTATTTTGAGAGAAAGAGAGAAAGATAGAGTAGGTATGTGGGTGGGAACAGGGGAGGGGAAGAGAGAGAGGGATAGAGAATCCCAAGTAGGTTCTACTCTGTCAGCACAGAGCCCGACGTGGGGCATGATCAGACTTAACCAACTGAGCCACCCAGGCACCCCTGAAATAGCTGTTTTTAAAAGCAGGATCCATTTTGAAGACAGTTGGGGAAATTAGACCATGAACTAGATATTAGACAGTACTGTGGCATTATTATTAATTTTCTTGATATCATGTTGGTATTATGGTTATACAGAAAATCTCCTTATTTGTTGGGTATGTGTGCTGAAGTGTTTCAGAGTGAAGTCTCATGGTATCTTCAGGCGGGTTACCTTCAGATGGTTCAGCAAAGATGTACATATATTTAATGTATTCATTTATCTATATATGTAGAGAAAGCAAATGTGAAATATTAACAACTGTTGAATATAAAAGGGTATATGGGATTCATTGTACTATTCACTCAACTATTCTATATGATTTTTTATTAATAGTTTATTTGTTAGTTTATATCCAAGTTAATTAGCATATGGTGCAACAATATCAGGAGTAGATTCCTTAATGCCACTTACCTGTTTAGCCCATCCCCCCTCCCTAAACCCCTCCAGCAACCCTCTATTTATTCTCTACATTTAAGAATCTCTTGTGTTTTGTCCCCCCTCCCTGTTTTTATATTATTTTTGCTTCATCTGTTTTGTATCTTAAAGTCCTCATATGAGTGAAGTCATATATTTGTCTTTCTCTGACAAATCCATGTAGTTGGATCCATGTAGTTGCAAATGGCAAAATTTCGTTCTTTTTGATTGCCAAGTAATACTCCATTATATACATATATATGTACATACCACATTTTTTTATCCATTCATCTGTAAATGGACATTTGGGCTCCTTCCATACTTAGGCTATTGTTGAAAGTGCTGCTATAAACATTGGGGGGCATGTGTCCCTTCAAAACAGCATACCTGTATCCTTTGGATAAATACCTAGTAGTGCAATTGCTGGGTCATAGGGTAGTTCTATTTTTAATTTTTTTAAGAACCTCCATACAGTTTTCCAGAGTGGCTGCACCAGTTTGCATTCCCACCAGCAGTATAAAAGAGTTCCTTTTTCTCCACATCCTTGCCAACATCTGTTGTTGCCTGAGTTGTTAATGTTAGCTATTCTGACAGGTGTGAGGTGGTATCTCATTGTGGTTTTGATTTGTGTTTCCCTGATGATGAGTGATGTTGAGCATTTTTTCATGTGTAGACACTTTTCCAAAGAAGACATGCAGATGGTTAACAGACACATAAGTTTTCTATAGAGTTTGGATACTAACCCTTTATCTGATATATTGTTTGCAAATATCTTCTCCCATTCCATCAGGTGCCTTTTAGTTTTGCTTTCTGTATATATGTATTTTAAGAAGCTAGGGAAAAAATAGTTTTGCCAAGAGGCAGTTGGCTGAGGGGAGGGGTGATGGCTACATTCCAGTGGGAGATGGCTTTTGTACTCTTTGAGGAGTGAGCTGGTCTGGCCTTGGCATACTCGAACAGTCTGTGATGGCCCCGACTGGCAGGAGGCCCAGTTTTACTCATGGATTTTTTTCTTTTTAAGATGTCGCTCAGTGGAACTAGATCTCAACCAAGCACATGTAGAGGATACTCCAAAAAGAAAAGGAACCAAAGTGTTTGGGAGTCTTGAAAGGGGGTTGGATAAGGTTATCACTGTGCTTACCAGGAGCAGAAGGAAGGGCTCTGCCAGAGATGGGCCAAGAAGACTAAAGGTAAGTGCACTGGGATTCTTTAGTATGGATCTCAGGAGCTAGCTGCTAACTGGACTTATCATTTTTTTTCCAAGAGAAGTAATGAATGACTGGATTATTTTTTATTTTATGCATTTTAATGCAATGGGTTTTGAGAATGCAGAGGTAAATTATGTATACTTGATCCTTTCTAGGAGCAAATAACTATAATTCAAATATTCAGGTAGATTAATCACAGAGACAGCATGGAGGCGGGGAAAGGTGGGGCGTATGGAGGAACTTAGAGCTGCCTTAAGGATGGAGACTTGAGCTTAATTGTCATATCTGTGGCACATGGATACCTTGTAGGCCCTCACAACATGTTTGAATGCATGGGAAGTGAACTTGAACTTTGTGGTGTATGTGAAGAAAATAGTGAGTAGCACACTGGGAAGGTAGACTGACAGGGCCTCACAGGCCTAAGAGGTTTGGACTTTTGATAGTCCTATCATGCTTTAAAAAGGCTTAATGTGTCCGTGGTATGGGCAATATGTTTGTTGGGGAAAGGAAAGGAAAAAAGAAGTTATTAGTAGATATAAAATACTTCTTACTCTCTTGAATTCGCTCTGAGGATTCCTTTAAACATCTAATTAATGACATTTTTGTTCAGGGAAGTAAGAGGTAAAGGTATAAATAAGACTCCACTCGGAAATGACACAGCCCACAGCATTGAGAATCTCAGAGTAGCAGTGAAGACAGGGATGTTGCTCGTGCTGCAGTAAAAACATATTCCAAGAGGTGTAAGTTCCAGAGGGGGGAAGAGAAGATGGTAGTGTTCCCTGTGATTTGGGGATTGGGTCTCTGTTTAGTTTTTGCACTGAGACTCCCATTTGGGGCAAATTTGGGCTTGTTTGGGGAAGGAAAATGATGAGCTGTTGGACAAAAGTGTGCTTCAGGGGAGAATATTCAGGTGTGTCCTGTTTTAAAGTGGAAGAAGATAGAATTTATCCATTAATATTTGTTCCCTGTTGAACTTAATTAATGTACTGAGAAGTTTTGCATATGGCTGTTTATTAGGTATATTTTGTCCTTTCGTTCTAAGATTTCTCTAGATTGAGACAGTTATGAAATATTTCAAACACTGACATTGGGATCAAACTCATAGCGCTGGGGCAACGGGGTGGCTCAGTCAGTTAAGCATCAGACTTTGGCTCAGGTCATGATCTCATGAGTTGTTTGATTTGTGGTTTGTGGGCTTGAGCCCCACATTAGGCTCTGTGCTGACAGCTCAGATTCCATGTCTCCCTCTCTCTCTCTGCCCCTCCCCTGATTGTGCTCTGTCTCTTTCTCCAAAATGAATAAATGTTAAAAAAATTTTAAGAAAACCATAGTGCCATTTTCCTGAAAAATATTAGATAAAAAAAAAATTAAGGAAACATGTCCAATCATATACATTATTGAGAAGCTAAGCAGTTGTCAAATACTAATGGATAATACCCTAAAAGTGTGTACCTGTGTAACTTGTTTGGACACTGAATGCATTTTCCAGTAGAAACTACTATGATATTAGTTCAGTTTCCAAGGATTATCTACTACTTCCAGGATGTAGGAGAAAAACCATAGATTGGGAATGAGAAGACCCAAGTTCCAGCTTCGACTTTGTACTTTGTAGCTTGGATAAGTCATTTTATCCCTGCCTCCTCAATTTCCTTATTTGTAAAAACTGGAGATAATTTCTACCCCAGCACCTTCATAGAGCTGAGATACCTAAACAAAGCTACCTCTGTGAAATGTACATGAAGCACTGTCTTATAGGGGTGCCTGGGTGGCTCAGTCGGTTAAACATCCAGCTTTGGCTCAGGTCATAATCTCACAATTCGTGGGTTCGAGCCCCGCATCGACAGCTAGCTCAGAGCCTGGAGCCTGCTTCAGATTCTGTGTCTCCCTCTCTCTCTGACCCTCCCCTGCTCACATTGTCTGTCTGTCTGTCTCTCTCAGAAATAAATAAAACATTAAAAAATTTAGAAAAAAAAAGAAACTCTTGTATAAGATTTTCCAATGTTTTTAAAAAATTTTTATTACTGAAGTGTAATTGATATACCATGTTATATTAGTTTCATGATTCTGTACATTATGCAGTGCTCACCATGGTGAGTGTGGTTACCATCTAGCACCATACTGTGTCATTAGAATGTTACTGACTGGGCAGAGAAGGACAAATATCATATGTTTGCACGTATAGGAGGATTAGGAGGAACTTGACGGAGGAACAAGGGGGAGAAGAAGGGTGGAAATGGTGGGGGAAAGGGAGAGAGGCAAACCATGAGAGACTCGTGAATGCTGACAAAAACTGAGGACTGATGGATGTCGGGGGGAGGAAGGATGGGCATGGAGGAGGACACTTGTGGGGATGAGCACTGAGTGTTATGTGGAAACTAATTTGACAATAAACTATTTGTAAAAAAATAAAAAATAAAAAAAAATAAAATACTGTCACTGAAAAAAAAAAAAGAATGTTATTGACTGTATTCCCTATGCTGTACTTTTGAGAGAGAGGGCGCACGCACAAGTGGGGAAGAGGGGCACAGGGAGAGAGAGGAAGGGAGGGAGAATCTTAAGTAGGCTTCATGCTCAGTGCAGAGTCTGACACGGGGCTCTATCCCTGGGATCATTACCTAAACCTAAATCAAGAGTCGGATGCTCAACCAATTGAGCTGCCCAGGCGTCCCAAAGGTGTTCCAGTATTGAGTGAAATTATCATCCATGTTGAACATTTTTAACCCTGATATAGCAGAACTATAGTCCTCATTAACACACACATAACATCAGAAACTTGATGTAACTTTGGATCTGTAACCCTTTTAAATTCTTTAAGCTTTTGCAGAACTGCAGGGCTCACTTTAGGAAATTAGTTTCATTTCTTCTACCTACTTCTTTTTGTTTTTTAATATTTATTTATTCATTTTTGAGAGAAGGGGAGACACAAGTGGGAGAGGATCAGAGAGAGAAGTAGATACAGAATCTGAAGCAGTCTCCAGGCTCTGAGCTGTCAACACAGAGCCCAACACGGGCCTCCGACCCACAAACTGTGAGATAATGGCCTGAGCCAAAGTTGAACTCTTAACTGACTGAGCCACCGAGGTGCCCCTTTACCTATTGTTTACATTAAAAAATTATAAACTTAGAAAACTTTAAAAAAGATGGCATAAAGAACACCTTAATTTGTTAAGATGCAGATCATACATAGTTAAGCCTCTGGTAGGAAACAATCTGTAAAAAATCTGAAGTTTAAACAGGTAAATTAGGATTAATTTTTTTAATGTGTATTTATTTATTTTAAGAGAGAGCATGTACACAAACAAGGGAGGGGCAGAGAAAGGAGGAGAGAGAGAATCCCAAGCAGGCTCTGTGCTATCAGCGCAGAGCCCGAAATAGGGCTCCATCTCACAAACCATGAGGTCATGATCTGAGAGGAAATCAAGAGCTGGCTGCTTAACTAACTGAACCACCCAGGTGCCCCAGGTTAATTCTTTATTTTATACAAGGAATCACTTAAATTGTATTTGGAAGTATTCTGCTTATCATCTAGACAAAGCCAATTTAGTTTGGTGAAACAGCCCTGGATGGGGACCCAGAAGACAGAGTGTCCTTGCCATAGCTGTGCCACTTATTCCTTTTATAACTTGAAGCTGGGTCTCTAAACTCTGGTCGTTGAACACTCATCTACAGGTGGTGTATCATCTGCACTAGAATTTATCTGGTATTTTCTTTATATTGACTCTTTTTAATAGTTTATTTTTTAATTTATATCCAAGTTAGTTAGCATATGGTGCAGCAGTGATTTCAGGAATAGATTCCCTAATGCCCCTCACCCATTTAGCCCATCCCCCCTCCCACACCCCCTCCAGCAACCCTGTTTATTCTCTATATTTAAGAGTCTCTTATGTTTTGTCCCTCTCCCTGTTTTATATTATTTTTGCTTCCCTTCCTTTATGTTCATCTGTTTTGTAACTTAAAGTCCTCACATGAGTAGTGAAGTCATATATATTTGTCTTCCTCTGGTTAATTTCGCTTGGTATAATACCTTCTAGTTCCATCCACCTAGTTGCAAATGGTAAGATTTCATCCTTTTTGTTTGCTGAGTAATACACCATTTTATATATATATTTTTATATATTTTTTTTTCATATATATATATATATATATATATATATACACACACACACACACACTCACCACATCTTCTTTATCCATTCATCCATCGATGGACATTTGGGCTCTTTCCATACTTTGGCTATTGTTGATAGTGCTGCTATAAACATTGGGGTGCGTGTGCCCCTTTGAAACAGCACATCTGTATCCCCTGGTTAAATATCTAGTAGTGCCTAGGATAGTTCTATTTTTAATTTTTTGAGGATCCTCCATACTGTTTTCCAGAGTGGCTATACCAGTTTGCATTCCCATATTGACTCTTAAAAAAAAAAAAAAAAAAGATTTATAGAGGTATAATTGACCTAAATAAACTATACTTAAAAATGTTTGGTTAGTATGCTTTGACATTATATAGACACCTGCGAAACTATCATCACAATCAGGAGGACTAGCTTTTTAAAATCTTAAATTTATTTATTATTTAAAAGTTTATTTTGAGAGAGAGCAAGTGAGTGAGTGCAAGCAAGGGAGGGGCAGAGAGAGACGGGAACAGAGGACCTGAAGTGGGCTCTGTGCTAACAGCAGAGAGCCCAATGCATGGTTCAAACTCACAGACTGTTAGGTCATGACCTGAACCAAAGTTGGACTCTTTTTTTTTTTTTTTTTTTAATGTTTTATTTATTTCTAGCAGAGAGAGAGACAGTGTGAGCAGGGGAGGGTCAGAGAGAGAGGGAGTCACAGACTCTGAAACAGGCTCCAGGCTCTGAGCTGGCAGTCAGCACAGAGCCCGACGCGGGGCTCGAACCCACAAACCACGAGATCATGACCTAAGTGNGAGTCACAGACTCTGAAACAGGTTGCAGGCTCTGAGCTGGCAGTCAGCACAGAGCCCGACGCGGGGCTCGAACCCACAAACCACGAGATCATGACCTAAGTGAAAGTCGGACACTTAACCGACTAAGCCACCCAGGCGCCCCATCCAAAGTCGGACTCTTAACTGACTGAGCCACCCAGGTGCCCTGATCTGAAATTTATTTTTAAAGAAACTGTATGTTATTAGTTTTTGCTAATTATGTTTTTCTAAGTCAGATTGGAACAAATATATAAATACTAAAATAAGAATACAGTTGCCCCTTGAATGACATGGGTTTGAACTGCGTGGGTCACTTACATGTATATTTTTTTCAACAAATATATTAGGAAAATTTTGGGGGAGACTTGTGACAATTTGGAAAAAACTCAAAAAAGGCATAGCCTAGAAATATCAAAAAAGTTAAGAAAAAGGTATGTAGATATTAGTCTATTTTATCATTTACTACCATAAGATATAAACAAATATAAAAAGTTAAAATTTATCAGAATTTATGCACACAAACACATACTGTACGTGGTGCCATTCACAGTTGAGAGAAATGTAAACACACTTAAAGATGCAGTATTAAATCATAACTGCATAAAATCAACTGTAATCCATGTCGTACTCCTGTAATAATTCCGTAGCTGTCTTCTCTTGCTCTTGCGGTGAGCTTGTATAGTGAGCGTCTGCTTAAAAACACCGTGTGACACTAATCATCTCCACGTGAGAAATTCGTCTCTTCAGTAAATTGCATATCACAGTAAAAAATGATCTCTTGTGGTTCTTGCATATTTTTCACATTTAAATACATTTTAAACATAAATCACATTTAGCGCCTTGCCGTACACCTTGAATAACACCAGCGGACCTGTATGAAGTGCCAGTAGCGATGCTGGACGTGCTCCCAAGAAGCAGAGACTCGAAGTCGGGACTCCTGGGTGGCTCAGTCGGTTAAGCGTCCAACTTTGGCTAAGATCATGATCTCATGGTTTGTGGGTTCGAGCCCCATGTTGGCTTTGTGCTAACAGCTCAGAGCCTGGAACCTATCTTCGGATTCTGTATGTTTTCCCCCCTCTCTCTGGCCTTCCCCTGCTCACACTGTCTCTCTCTCTCTCTCTCTCTCTCTCTCAAATAAATAAATAAAACATTTTTAAAAAGGCAGGGAGAAGTCATGACTTTTCAAGAAAAACTTGAATTGCTTGATATGTACCATAGATTGATGTCTGTGGCTGTGGTTGCCTACCATTTCCAGATAAATGAATTCAGTGGAAGGGAACATTGTTTTTTTTTTTTTTTTTTTTTTAAAAGGGAAACTCATGAAGCCATTGTGGCAGCTATGCTAACAGGCAAAGAACCTTGCATTTTTTGCAAAATACTTTTTTTAAATCTCGTATTGCGAATGCAGCTTTTATATAGGTATAGGGTTGCTGTAAGGAAGGCATACCTATAAGCTTTAATATGATTTGAAAAAAGGTGAAGTCATGTTATGACAAGTTAAAGCAAAAGGAAGGTGAGGTATCTAAAGCTGGAGAATTTAATGTCAGCAAGGGATGGTTTGATAATTTTAGAAAGATATTTGGCTTAAAAAATGTTAAGGTAACAAAAGAAGCAACTTCCGCTGACTAAGAGACGGTAGATACTGGTTCCCAGATGCCATTAAGAAAATCATTGAAGAGAAAGAATATCTTCCTGAACACGTTTTTAATGCAGACAAAATTACCCTATTCTGGAAAAAGAAATGCCACAAAAGGCATTCACTAGTAAGGAAGAAAAATGAGCACCAGCCTTTAAGGCAGGAGGGGATAGGCTAGGTCTACTATTCTATGCAAATGCACTTGGGTTTATGATCAACACTGCCCTTATTTGTAAAGCTGCTAACCCCTGAGTCTTGAAGGGAAAATATGACCATCAACTGCCAGTCTTTTGGTTGTACAAGAAGGTCTAGACAATGAGAATACTTTTTCTGGATAGATTTCATCAGTGAAATCAAGAAGTACCTTGCCAGTAATGGACTGCCATAAAATTTTTAAAAAATTTTATTTATTTTTAGAGAGAGAGCAGGGGAGAGGGGCAGAAGGAGAGAGAGAGAGGAAGGAAGAATGGACAGACAGACAGAAGGAAGGAAGGATAGAAGAAAGGATAGATGGATGCATCTTAAGTACGCTCCATGCTCAGTGCAGAGCTGAACGTGGGGCTCTCGATCTCACCACCGTGAGATCATGACCTAAGCTGAAATCAAGAATTAGAACCAGATGCTTAACTGACTGAACCACCTAGGCTCCCCAGGGACTGCCTTTTAAAGTTCTTTTGACGTTGGACAATGCCGCTGACTACCCAGAACCCTGTGAGTTCAACACTGAAGGTGTTGAAGTGGTCTGCTTGTCCCCAAGCATGGTGTTTCTAATTCATCCTCTAGAAAAGGGGGTCATAAGGATCTTTCAGGCTGATTACATGCAGTACTATGGAAAGGGTTGTCAGCATTATGGAAGAGAGTGTCATGGAAGTCTAGAAGGATTACATCATTGAAAATGCCATTGTTATAGCAGAAAAAAAAGTCATGAAAGCCTAAGTCTGAAATACATTTCTGCTGGAGAAAACTGTCCACGTGTTGTGCATAACTTCATAGGATTTATAACAGAGCCAAGCAGAGAAATTATGAACGAGTTTGTGGATATGGCAAAAAAGATGTTTGGGGGGGTTTCAAGATACGGGTAGAAATTCAAGAGCTGATAGACATCACACCGGAAGAATTAACAGAAGATGAGTTGATGGAGATAAGTGCTCTGAACCAGTGACAGGTGATGAGGAAGAACATGTAGAAAAAGCAGTGCTAGGAAACAAATTGACATTAGACAATCTCGCAAAAGGGTTTCGATTATTCAGGACTACTTTTGACTTCGTTTATGACATGGATCCTTTTATGATATGGGCACTGAAACTAAAGCAAATGAGAGGAGGAGGATTGGTACCAGGCAGAAACGTTTTTTAGAGACATGAAAAAGCATAAAGCCAGACAGAAATTGGCAATATATTTCCAGAAAGTTCCACCGAGTGTGTCTGCCCCTTCTCATCCCCTTCTACCTCTTCCACCTCTGCCACCTCTGAGAAAGAAAGAACAACCTCTCCTTTTCCTCCTCCTCCTCAGCCTACTCAACATGAATAAGAAGAGCATGAAGGACTTTATGATGATCCACTTCTAATGAGCAGTAAATAATCATCATAACATACAGTTAATAAACTTATCTGTTGTGTATGTGTGTGAGTGTCTTCATGTGAACATGTAATAACTGTGTGAAAACAGTCTTAAGAGACGTTTTTGTGCCATCATCATTGTTACCTAAGTGTGCCTCATGTAGAATCTTGTGTGTAAGACTCATATGGAAGTGGATAGCCTATCATTACTTAGACACAAGGTGAGTGGTATTGAATATAAAATTATAATGTGTTAGTTTTCTTACTGTTTTATAATTTTGCTTTCGAAGAATTATATTACAGTATGCTTCTCCTGTCTTTGGAGAAACCGCTTATCAGCCTATCATCATCAGTAGGTGTTTTTAAAAATATATATACGTGTTTCTAATACTGTATTATGAATATGACTGTATTACTTCATCCCATAAAATTTTATAACCATTTATTCATTAATGTGTAGGCTCAGCTACTATGATACAATCATATTGATTATACTAGACTACCATGAAGCAGTCATATTGCTGGCTTTTTGTTACCAATGAGTGAATCATTATACCTGTACATAAATATGAATTTCTTTTTCACATTATCTTTTCATTTTTATATCTAGTGTTAGTAATACATGTAACATCTGTCATGTTTTGTATCGTGTAAGACAGTATTGATGTAGGTACTAATAGAAGATAGAGGATTCATCTTGTAAACAGATAATGTAAACTTACAGTATTGATAAATACAGTGCAGTACTGTAAATGTATTTTCCCTTCCTTTCTATTTTCTTAATAACATTTTCTTTTCTCTATGTTATTTTATTGTAAGAATATAGAATATAATACATATAACATACAGAATATGTGTTAATTGATTGGTATGATATCTCTAAGGCTTTCAGTCAGAAGGCTGCTTTTCATGTCTCTAGTTTTGTGGGAGTCCAAAGTTATATGTGGATTTTTGACTGCATGAGGGCCCAGTACCCCTAGCCACTGCATTATTCAAGGGTCAGCTATATATTCAAACCCTGTTTCCTGGAGTATTCGTTTCATCTCTCACAGTTTACATCTTAGGACAGTTAATGTCTCTGACATAGGAGACATGCAGTGTCCCTAGGAATGGAGAAACAAGTAAAACTCAGATAGATGTGAATTAATATTTATGTATTTCACTAAAAAGATTGATAGGAGAAGAGGATGAAAAGTTAAAAAGGATGATCTGGATGTACTTACTAGTGAACATAATTTCTCCAAGCTCTCCAGTGCCATTTTACTCCAGCTTACCAAGAATTGGTTGTAAATCCTTTCAGTATTTTTCTGGAAATGTTTCTGTCTAAACCTGTACTATAATGAGTTTGGGATCTCTAAGTTAGGTAGGGTGGTGTTTATGTTGATGTAAAGATTTACTTCTTACCCCTTCTTTTTCTTTTTTAAGCTCCACTATAATGTGACTACAACCAAATTAGTGAATCCAGATCAACTCTTGAATGAAATAATGTCTGTTCTTCCAAAGAAGCACGTTGACTTTGTACAAAAGGGGTAAGAAGCACGCTTAGAGGCTGTTGCATTTTACTTGATGTCTTTTGAGCTTTAAGAAGACATGTATGATTCTTCTTTTTTTAAAAAAGATTTTCCCCACCTCATTTTCATCAAAAAAAGTTTTATGGTAGTGTCATTGTTCATAATTTAGCCTGTTTGGTTTTCTTTGAGCTAGTGCCATATTGTCACCACTTTCAAAGTTAGACTTTCAAACTAGGAAAAATCTGAACTTCTTCCAGTTTTTTTTTTTCCCAATCCGCTATTTTCCTTTGATGTTCTGCTTTTCAATAATGTTTCTAAATTGTAATCTAAATATATGAGACAACTTCAAACCAGGGATTTATAGAATCCTTTTGTGTATGACTTGCTGTTGGGCAGGACTAGGTTTCTGCACTTTAAGAAATTATTTCACCTTAACTCTTTCCCACTGTTGAGTGAGCTGCTGCTGGCAAAGCCTCTGCGGCTGTGATCTCCTGGTCTGAATGGCCAGACCTCTTCTCCTTATCTAAGATGTTCATATTTTCTTCTTCTTCTTTTTTTTTTTTTTTTTTTTTAAGAAAAACTCTGATTCTTCATCTTAAGCCAATTACTTCTATGAGGCTCCACCATGAAATAAGATGTTCATATTTCTAAGTATTTCCAGTTATGTCTCTTTCACATTTCATTATTGTAGCAGATAAAAAGCCACTAATTGATATAAGAAACATTTAACTAGAATGTTCGATATAGAGTAAGATTTTTTGGAAACAATCTTTTGCAAAAGTAATTTTACTTTTCATTATCTGTACATTGTTGGCCAGCATTCCTTACCTGAACCCTGGCTTTCTTCTTTAGGCATCGTCAGAACACATATAACTCGCTCTGATCCGTCTTCATGCTTGCGGTTTAGCAGTGGTTCCAGAACCTCTAGCCAAATCTATATCAGAAAACTGTCAATAATCTTTCCTTCAGCATGTGGTCTCTCTATCAGATCACCAACTGGCTGTTAGCCAATAATTTATCCATCTAACTTCCTCATCAACCACAAAGTCTCTGCCTTGATCCTTTTTTTTCCTTTTTATCTCTTCTGTTTGTTTTTAACTTCTTTGTGACAAAGCAGAATATCAAGAGCTAAGGTTTTCAGGGATGTGATGTTGCTAATCTCAGGTATATTCCATTATGATCTTTTTTCATTCATGAAGAATTGGCTTTTCTCTTCCATATGACTGAATTGCTCTATGCTCATCTTCCCGTCAGGAACCTTAACTACAGAGTACTCCTTTCAACATTTCTGATAGTGACTGCTCATTTTTAAGAGATGAAGACCCCAAACACATAGCTAAATAAGAGAGAGGATGATATTTTGTAAAACCTCATAGTACATAACAGATACAAGTAATTTTTCCATGCTTCTGTGGATGGTACCTAATCATGTGTTCCCCATATTTAGGGAACTGAAATTTAAAATTGATCGTATTATCTATTATTTATTGGAGATTAGTGAGACAAATAGAACAAAAATATCTTGCACATGAATTAAGAAATTGTTTTACATGAATTCAAGTTATGTAACTTTGCAGGAACATGCCTGATTCTTAAGATGTGTTTAAGGCTTCATTTGGCCTGGGCTATCCATTTTCAGAGTTGGTATACGACAGTTCTAATTATACACAGACACACAGACACACATACACACACACACACACACACACACACACCATGTGTTTCAAGCATGGGAATAGACCATCTCCATGGGCTTTCTGTTACAACTCTGCCATAAAGTGTAACGATCATAACCTCTTACTACTATTAGAAAAACCTCAAAAACACACACCTTTCTGACAGGTTGGTGGCTTCAGCTTTATTTATATGAAAAACAATTTTCTGATGAGGTGCACACAAAAAAATATTCTTAATCTTCCCTGTACTTTCTTTTGTTGTGAACATTGTGGAAATGGCCTACTGTCCCCGGATTATACTGTTGAAAGAGTTGCATAAAGGAGGCCAGAAGATTTCTTGAGCATGAATGGCATAGGTAGCTATGAAAGGAAGGCTTTTATTTGGATAAGGGAAAGTTCTAGTAAAGCCTTTCATCTTTATTCTTTCTTAAGATCCTAGTTCAGTGTCTGCAAAAACACCTGTCATGCTCCATGATTAAGGTATAGCTAAGTCATTTGGAAACTGTAAGCAGTAAGATATTGCTTAATGAAATAATGGTTCATTTTCTCCACTGGCCTCCTACAGGCTTAGAAATCTCTTGTACAGAATATTCATGGTTCTGCTACTAACTGGCTTCTTATCTTGTTTTCATAGCTATACACTGAAGTGTCAGACACAGTCAGATTTTGGTAAAGTGACAATGCAGTTTGAACTAGAAGTGTGCCAGCTTCAGAAACCCGACGTGGTGGGTATCAAGAGGCAGCGGCTTAAGGGTGATGCCTGGGTTTACAAGAGATTAGTGGAAGACATCCTGTCTAGCTGCAAGGTATAATTGTTGGATGGTTCACCCCTGCTGGATGAATATGGGTGTGTTACAGCCTATGTGGAGAATGGTATCATTGGTTTGATTTTTAAAGTCCATTGGAACTCTAGACTTGTTTCTAAAGAGCTGTCTTAAAGACAAACACCTTTTTGTTTTTAAACAAAAGATATTTTGCAGATGACTGTAAGGCAAGCCCATCTGTCATTATCTATTACTGTCTTTTTTAATCATATGGTTTTGTATATTAATAACTGTTGACTTTCCTAGTTCACTTCCATATGTGAAAGTAAGCTCTCAACTATGTCCCCTTTTAATGTGTAATTTCTTTCTGAATAAAATCATTTGTGAATATATCAGGCTTCTCCTCTTCTTTGTATTTGATTTTGATACAAATAAAACCTCAAATGGCTTCCTGACTATTAAGTAGAGACTATTTGGAGATGTTTTATCTGTTATCAAATATGCCTTGGGCAGAAAAAACAGATAAGAATTCATTTGCATAATTTTTTCCTGTCTCTGATTTAAGTAGGATTTATTGAGATCGTTAACTAAGTCACAGCTGTGGTTACCAGAGTTAAACAACACATTTAATATGTTGAATAAAAGGGTATTGACTTCAGTAAGTGTGTTCGGTCAACAATGATAAGTATCTGAACTATGAGCCCCCATGAAATGTTACTTTATGGTAATTTTCCTTAAGTCTCAATGTTGGCCCCAAATTTGTATTTTTATTTCATTTTATTGGTCTCTAAAGGCTAGCACTCGAGTTATGTTTGTATGGATTTTACCAATTAAACTAGTTGGAGAAAAAAAATAGCACTACTTCTAGTCAGTAGTGAGGGAGTATTCCGTCACTCATTTATTCAGTAAGCATTTACTAAGTGCTTTAGGTCCTGGGGCCGAAGATGATACTGTCGTCTAAACATTCCCTGTTTACTAAACCCAGGGAGTTCAGAGTCTATTAGGGGCAGATGCATAAGCTAGTATTTATAGCATAGAGGGGATGGCCAACTTTGTCTGGAGGACTAAGGGGTGACTTATTGGAGGAAACAGTATTTGCCTTGGAGGATATATAGGCATTCATTAGAAAGGGAAGAGGGAATATAACATTCTTGACAGAAAGAAGTGTATGTGCAAAGGCATGGAATTATAAAATGGCACATGCCGTGTTGAGGGTGGAGGCAGAAGGTGGTACAAGGGACAAATAGGAGATGAGGGTTAAACATTGACTTGGAAATACGTGACAAAAGAACTTGAAGGAACCTGAATGCTCCAATAAACTGTTTTGGCAAAGGGAAGCTGTTCAGAGGTTTTACATGTTTTCTAGCAGCTCTATTGAAATATAATTCACATATTATGAAATTCACCTCTTTATTTTTTAATTAAAAAAGTTTTTTTTAACATTTATTTATTTTTGAGAGACAGATCATGAGCAGAGGAGGGGCAGAGAGAGAGGGACACACAGAATTGAAAGCAGGCTCCAGGCTCTGAGCTGTCAGCACAGAGCCCGACATGGGGCTCGAACCCATGAACTATGAGATCATGACCTGGGCCGAAGTGGGACACTCAACTGACTGAGCCATCCAGGCGCCCCGAAATTCACCTCTTTAAAGCGTACAATTCAGTGGGCTTAATTATATTCACATTTGTGCAGCTATTCCCACGATCTAATTTTAGAACATTTCCATCACCTCAAAGAGGAACTCTGTATCCAGTAGTGGTCACTTCCAGTTCCCTCACCTCACAGCCCCTGGCATCCTCTAATATACTTCCATCTCTGCATTTGAGTATTCTGGACATTTCACATGAATGGACTCATACAGTATGTGCCTGTTGGGTCTGGCTTCTTTTTCAAGATTCATTATGTTGTATCACGTATCAGTACTTCATTCCATTTTACAGCTTAATAATATTCCATTGTGTGGATATATCATGGTTGTTTTTTTTTAATCCATTTATGAATTGGTAGACATTTGGGTTTTTTACACTTCTTGGCTACTATGAATAATATTGCTGTGAACATTTGTGTACAGATTTTTGTGTGATCATGTTTCCAGTTCTCTTGTGAGTATATATACCTAGGAGTGGAATTGCTGATTCATTTAACATTTTGAGGATCTTACTAATTTTTCTCCATTCTCTGTAACATTTGTTATTGTCTGCTCATTTTATTTTAGCTCTGTGAAGTGATATCTCATTATGGTTTTGATTTGCTTTTCCCTAATGACTAATGATGTTGAGCATCTTTTCATGTGTTTATTGGTCATACATCTTTTTGGAGAAATATTTAGATCCTTTGCCCATTTTTAATTGGGTTGTTGTCTTTTTATTGTTGCATTGCAAGAATTCTATAGTTCCAGCTCTAAGTCTCTTGTCAAATATATGATTTGCAGATTTTTTCTCTCATTCTGTAGGTAGTCTTTTTAATTTCTTACTGATGTCTTTTGAAAAACAAAAGTTTTAAATTTTCTAAAGTCCAATCCATTTTTTTTATAAAACCTAAGAGAAGAATCACTCTTCTATCCCTGTGACAGATGGCATGTTTTGGAACAGTGGTTTTCAAATACTTTTCACCATGAACCACAGTAAGAAGTTTTACTTTGGGATGCATTACACATAAATATATTTATAAAACACTGTTTAGCCTTACTACAAGTGTGATACTATTTTCTATTCTTTTTTCTTTTGTAAACATCTATCTGACATTTGCAATCTTTACATTGGAGTCTTTTAGTACATTTGCTTTAAAAATTAAAATTAAAACTTTTTTTGGTGTTAATTCAGCCTAGGAATGCTGTTATTGGCCCTACTACCCTTCAGACTGGATCAAGTAAAAATAGATACCCTGACTGCTATTTAGCATAAGTCTTGCTTTTCTTTAAGGAAAAGAAATGTTAATGTTTGCCATATCATCTAAAATCTATCACTTAGCTCAAATTTTATAGAGCCACTTGGAAAATTAAAGGAGTATAGTTGTGAGTTGAGGAAATGAGGTTGGCTTCATTCCTAAGAGGCAAATATGGTTTAGATTTTTGGCACTAAGCTAAATGCATAGTTTTAGGTTTGCTTCACTTTCCATTGTCCACCCACACCTGGACTTCTTCGGAGGGTTTGTGTGCATTTTATGTCCAGAGGAAGGCTGTGTGAAGTAGTAGGGAGGGAGCCTTTGAGGAATGGTTGAAGGAGTTGGGAATTTGGAACCTAGAGAAGAACTTAGGGCACTAACCCCTGAATACCTGAAGGTCTGTCATGAAGGGAGTACACGAGACTTGTTTGTGTGACAGAAGTAAAGTCTAGTGAGAAGTTGGATGAATATCTTATTCATCTTTGTGTTCCCAGCATTTAGTAGGGAATACAGCGGGGACTCAGTATATACTGATGAAGTTGAACCATATTGAAGTCCACAATAAAAGAGCTTTCAGAAAAAGTCCAAGCTACCTGACAAGAGAAAGGGCGCTTAGGAATTTGGTGGTTTCCCTGTCACCGGAGGTGTTCAGACATGTTGGACAGCCATTCGTAGGACAGGTCATACATAGGAGGGATTTAAGTATTGAACTGAACCAGTAGTCCTGAACCTCCCATCTGTCATCTACCTGTGATCCAGATAACAGTGTGGAAAATAATGAATCACTTGTTTGCATATTGGGAGTACAGTGACCGTGGAAATTTTGGCAGCAGCAGTTTAGGTAATATTGAATATTTTGCAAATTGGGAATGATAGGATGGTGAATGCATTGTATGAGCAATCAAAGATTGTGTTTATTGGCTGTGATAGGGAAAAAGAGAGTAATGATCATAATACCTACTTAGTATTGAACACCCACTATGTGCCAACCACTGCCCTGGATGATTTATATCAGGCGTTAGCAGACTATGGCCTGTGGGCCACGCCTATAGTCTTTTTTGATAGTTTTATTGCAACTCATCCTATCTATGACTGTTCCTGTGCTACAGTGGCAGAGTTGAGTAAATTTGACAGCCTGTATGTCCTGCAAAGCATATTTACAATTATAAAGTATTTGCTGTCATAAAGTATTTACAGAAAATGTTTGTTGACCCCTGATTTAGATAAATGTTTTCAAATCTAAACATACAAACTCATTTAGTCTTTACACTAACTCTGCAAGGTTGGTGGTATCCCTTTTTACAGAGGAGAAAGCTGAGTCTTAGAGAGGCAAAGTAATAACTTCCTCAAAGTCATAAGACTTGTAAGTGTATTGGATTTGAGTCAGGCATGACAGCCTCTAACGTCCATGTTCTTTCCTATACTAGAAATAGATGTAATACCTCTCTCCTGAACTTGTACCATATAGGAAAGCATTATATATGATGCTTATCAAAAGATTGCTTTTTTATAGCAGCAATCTTACACAAACTGGTTAGGATGTAGATGTAGGAAAATTTTGCTAATTCAGACCTTATTACAGTGTAACTTACTACAGCTGAGTATGTTAGGCTACTTCTTTTTGATGAAAGTAATAAGTAAGAAGATAGATAAGAACTGAGGGACTTTCAGCTTCTTGGTTCCACAGGGATTTTATGCATTTTTAAGGAGCTTATTTTTATGATTATGATTATTCTGTAATATAGGCCCATAGAATTATATATTTAAAAGCCGTTTTGTAGGTTCTGAGTGAGTATCCATTTCCTTACATTTTCTAATTTCTGGAGGCTGACCACATTTCTCAGCTCATGGCCCTCTTCCTCCCTCTTCACACAAAGGCAAGGTGGGTCCTTTTCACATCACATCACATCCACAGTCATGTTTCCCTCTGACTGTGAACTCTTCTCCCTCCGTCTTCTACTTCCAAAGACCATAATGATTACATTGGGCCCACTCACGTAATGCAGAAGTATTCCTCTGTCATAAGGTTAGCTGTTTGGCAACCTTAATTCCATCTGTAGGCTGAATTCTCCTTTGACACATAACATCATATTCCTGGATCCCAAGAATTAGAATGCATTGTCTATGATGCAGGGGCATTCTTCTGCCCATCACAATGGTCAGCCGAGTTTTGACAAAGATACCAGGACAATTCAGTGGGGAAAAGAACAGTCTTTTCAACAAATGGGATGCCTGGCTGGCTCAATTGGTAGAACATGCAACTTTTGAACTCAGGGTTTTGAGTTCGTGGGTGTGGAGATTACTTAAAAATAAAATCTTAAAAAAGCAACAACAACATGGTGTTTAGGTAATTGGATATCCACATGCAAAAAATGAAGTTGGACGGACCGCTCACACCATATTAAATAGATCAGAACCTAAATGTAAAAGCTAAAATGAGAAAATTCTATGAAAAAATGTGGAAGTAAATGCAACCTTGGATTCGGCAATGGATATATAGATAAAATA